CCCGGGGCTAGCACCGCGGGTGGGGGGGGGTGTCCCCGACACCACCCCGGTGTGGGAGTAGGCGGTGGGGTGGTCCTGCAGGCGTGGGGCCGGTGCCGGGATCCGTGAGGGGTGAAGCAGGGCCCCGCGCCGCCCGGGGTGAGAGGAGGGAGCCCCGGGAAGGGGTAGCGGCGGCGCGGAGACCCCCGGGCTGCCCGGCAGGTCCTGCCTGCTTCTGGCTTGGGTTGGCGGGCTGCCGCGCCGGCCCGTACCCCCGGCCCTGAGAGACCCCCCCACAGCCCCAGCCTCGGCTGAGGGGAGCAGTGGAAGGGGGGCGAAGAGGCGGCGGGAAGGCGAAGAGGCTGACAGGGGACTCGGTGAAAACGTCCCCCCAAAGAGGTGTGTAAGAGCAGAGGCACGATGGGTGCTTCACCGGCGTGGAAAAAGGGCGTCCTTGGAAGTCACTTCACGGATGTCTCCTGTACAACTGTGATGCGAGTGGGAGGAACTTGAGAACACAAACGCTGCTCCCTAAGGACAGCCTAGCCAAAAACAACCTAAAAGAGCAAGGGTTTGGGTACTACTGGGGACAAAAAGCGAGGTACCACCTCGGTCCAAGGCCCTTTGGTCCACCCTTCCTTCCCACCTGTCCGAATTCATTCTCCCCTACCCCTTTCACCTGAAGCCAACAGCTGGCGCCTGGGTTTCCTGCCTTTAGCACCTGAGAAGGGGTTTTGCATTTGGAAAGCTTCCACAGCACCTTTGAAATCCTGCAGGAATTCTATTAAGGAGGGAAGCTTTGCGGTGTTGAGGCATGACCGAGTCTGTGTCATATGCAGAAGGAGCGCTGAAAAGGCAGAGCAGGAGCCACAGGTGCCATGAGAAACTATCTCAGAAGATTAGGGTGAAACTTCTGTTCCATAAGTGAGCAAGTTTAAACCTGAGCAATTCTTGTGAAACTCTTGGGACATAGATAATGAGGCATGCTTCGTTTTTCTATATTGTCTATAGCTACGTATATTTTTAATCTTTTAAGAATGAAGTACCAAGAGAAGGAAAGGAACAGTTCCACACCTGCAGAGGTAACACAAATTTACCATGTTGGGACTTCTCCTGCTTTTCATTACTTTAAATTAGTCTATCTTAAATTAGTTTATCTTCAGATACTTATCTGAAGTATCCCTGCTTCCAGGGATGCTTCAGCAATAAGCATATGACATCTGAGAGGCTTTGGTGAAGGATCACATGCACTTTCTTTCCTTAGAAGCAGGTCTTCAAGTTGCCATCCTTAACTTGCAGAGCAGTAGCTGCTTCGTGCCTGCGTGTATATAATTTCTTATGCTCTCAGCCACCGCTCTCAGTCTGTCTAAGCTTCTTTCCCTTTATTTCTTCCTCTTGCTTCTGGCTTTGAGGCATCTTTCCCAACGCCGTAACTGCTCCCATCAACCTCATCATAAAATCAAGCATCCCTTGTCTTTCCTGTTTTGTATTATATTTACACACATAAATACTATACACGTACTTATATTATTTACTTGTATTTATTATAATTTTTGTAATAAAATGAAAGTATTGGTGTCCCCCTACTCTATAACCATTGCAATGCAGCAATGTTAAAGCACAGAGCTTTCCCCCTCAGCCACTCTGTTATACTGTAGTTCCTTGTTCTGCACCAGAGAGCAGGGGCAACGAATTGAGAGAGGGTCCTGGCAGTTTTTTTTCTCTGAATCTCAGTAAGAAAGGCCCAGCAGCAAATGGCTCAATAAAACAACCCCTTTTAAAAAGACAGAATAGGACAATACAGATAACGAGTAAATCTTATGTCTTATGGATGCTGTGAACTCCACATTTCTGCAGCATTGGACGGACCCTGGGTGGACTTCTCTGACAGCACAGATCCCATCCCTGGAGAGAAGCTCCTCCCTTGGTCATTCGAGCTATTTTCATTTTCTTACAAGAAAACAGCTATTTATAAAGGATGTTTGCATGAGAAGGCCTTGCTGCACTTGTAGATAAAGGCAAGGCCACGCAGGTGGTGTAATCGCCTGCACCAAGAGGGAGGTGCCCACAGGCTCCTCCATGACATGGAGCTGGTGGAGTTTATCCTGCAGCCAAGAGCTTTGTGCAGCACAACACAGGCCTGAAGGCAGCACAGCACAGACCTGGTCCTGCTCAGGGTGCCTGTATTGTGGATCACTGCCTTCTTGATGTGCAGTGGTCTCCTGGTCAGGATCACCACACTCCCCCTGCTTCCAGCATCTTCAAGGAGTGTCTGTTTTTCACCGATGTTTTGCCTCCTTGCACATCTCAGAGTAATAACCCGGTGCATTTTGGACTTTGAAACATGGAAATGAGCAAATCGGTGTTGCTGATATCAAAGATTCTGTTTTGAGCATATCTCATCTTTTTTCCATGTCTTTCCTTTTTCGGACAACCTGCTGAAATCTGTGACACAGAGAGCATGAAACGCTGCCCATATTAGGGCTGAAGGCACTGGCAAACAGCCTTGCGCAAAACTCACGGAACTGTTTTGTCAATGGTTTTCTCAGAATAGTATATTTTGCATCATGCTGTATTCTGGGATGGGGCAATGAGGGGAGACCTTATGGCTCTCTACAACTACCTAGAGATGTGCAGGTCGGTCTCTTCTCCCAAGTAACAGGCAATAGGACAAGAGGAAACAGCCTCAAGTTGTGCCAGGGGAGGTTTAAATTGGATATTAGGACAAATTTTTACACTGAAAGGGTTATTAAGCATTGGAACAGGCTGCCCAGGGAAGTGGCTGAGTCACCATCCCTGGTGGTATTTAAAAGATGTGTAGAAGTGGTGTTTAGACATATGGTTTAGTGATGGTGTTTGTCAGTGTTAGGTTGATGGTTGGACTAGATGATCTGAAAGGTCCCTTCCAACCTGGGCTATTCTATGATGGGGCAACCTGACTGCAGAATTCAAAGCTGTAAGGCCATAGCGCTTCCTGCAGAGAAACTTATTTAGGGAGGGAGCTTTTGCTGGGCATAGTGCATAATCAACTAATTGAATTCATTGCTGCAGGCAGTCAAACGCTATGACCAGAAGTATTTCAGTTGGAAATTTTGAAGAAATACCACTCTTCCTTGCCGTTACTTGAAAAAAAAAATAACCACACTACTGTGGTTGATGTCATCATTAGCAACTGTACAAACCAAGATGCTGATCATTTCTCATTTTGCAAGGTGCCATTGGCAGCTGAGAGAGGACAAGCAGCACCTCCCTACACCCCTTTCTGCTTCTGCACAGTTGACCTAGGTCGCTAGGGTTTTATCCAGGGCTGAACTAAGGAAGAACTTTTGGAAAACATTTCAAACTTGGAAAGGGACAAGAATTCCTGGGCATTTATATTGCTACCCCCTGCAAAACTTCATAATTTTATTTATGATACAACAGTGCAACTCTTTATTGCACTGACACTTTGTTTTCTTCCTCTTCAGGCTAGAGCATACTGGTCAAATTTGAGATACGCAACTTAGCAAGGGAGTGTACCCATGGTATGATAAACAGACGTAATAAATGATACGACAGGCTGCATGTATGCTTCCGTATAGTAAAATGTTTAATGACTGAGTGTTCGTTAACTGAACAAGAGCCATTGGATAGAAACTAAAAACTTGTTCCTTAGTAGCTTGCATGCAGCCCTGTTGCGCTTCTTCAGAAAGTTGCTCCTCAACTCTGTCTGGAAAGCAGTGCAGCGAGCACAGGCCCTCCTCACATGTCCCGACTGATTTTACTTATGAAGCTGGCAAAAGACGGGCACAGGAGAACAAACTAATGTGCTGACACTCAGATCTTCTCCCTGGATTACCCAGAGCAACTTCCAGTGAGTGATGAAAGCAAATTTGCATGTTCTTCTTAACTGCCTGCAGTAGGAATTTTTACAGATGCGAGTCTGTTGCTGATATTTATTTCATACTTTGCAAGAGCTAACCATGTAATGTGGCTAATTTGTAGATGGTGTGAGGCGGATTAGCTGCTGAGATTAGGAGTGCTTCTTACTGCTCAAAGCAGCGCTGAAGCAAGCTCAGAAAGTTTCTGGCGGTATCCTTCAGCAGAAAAAAAAATAATCATATAATAGAGAAGAGTTCATTTTAACATGTCCTTTTTATCTGAATGCAGGTGCGGCAGGAGAAAATGGGAGAAATTACTGATCCTCTTCTGCCAGGAGACCTAAAATCTGCTAGCAGTTACAACTTTGTAGAAAAACTTCCATCTTTCTCTAGCTCAGCAGAAGACAACTGCACGCTGCTATAGCCAGCACAAAGCTGGATTGCGGCTAAAAGAGAAGAAACGTCCTTGACCAAGGTGTAAGTGACCTGTACATATACTTCTCCTGAGTCTTACCAGGCATGTAGTCTTAGGCCAAGATTTAGACTTGTTTAATGCACTTTTTTGTTCTTGTGATTGTATCCATTTGGCTTGGGTTTAGTTCAAAAATGATAAATTAGCTGCATGTGGGAAGCTTGTAACTATGAAGCTTCTAGCTAATTTATGTCCATTTAGATTGCAATCTAGTTTTCACATCATCGTGAAACTAAATTCAGCTGAACTACTTTGTGCTTAAATATATATATATGCTCCTTATTGGATGGCCCAGATTGAGATTTATATTGGATATAGAGCAGAAGCAATTGGAACATTAGAGAAAAATCTGTGTTTTGTTGGTAAGTTACTATAGCAAAATGCTCTCATTGAGCTATTATTAAGATAAAGCTGCAGTACTGGCAAAGCCTCAGTAGAAAAATCTGCTTAAAAATACAATAAAGAACTGAGGGCATTCATTGGGGGTACATAACATGACATTGTCCTTATTTGTTCTTAATCTTCCTCTTTTTTTTTTTTTTTTTTATAAAAGAGAAGTTGCAAATACACCATGTTGCTTGAACTGTCGTATGCAAAATCAAGCAGGGTTATTAGTATTTTACTCCAATGTTTTAGTTCTTACCTATTTCTTAGTTTTGTATATTTCACTTACTTGTGATTCAACCCTGATTCATCCTTCTGTGTTTAACTGCTGTGGCACCATCAAAGTTAATAGACAAACTCTCATCAGCTCTAGCGAAGTTAAGATTTCATTGTGTATGTTTATGTGTGAGTTTTACTTCCAAATAAGAATTCTTCACTCATATCAATGGTGGCATTTTATTCCTAATCAGCATTTACTTTGTGCTGTCAAACTCTATACTGTTTTCCTGGCATCATTTTTGTAACACCTTGGCTTATTATGCAAATCTAAAGTTTATAAGGTTTGGATAAGATAATGAAGTTAAAAAAATGACTAGTGGAGATAAAAGAATTTGCAACAAATACAGCTCACATGAGCTGAAGTTATATATACAGGGAGAATGAGCATTTTCAGTGAGTTCCTTTATAGTAACATAACAATATGGCTATTTACCTCCCCCGTCTGGACAGATTTGGTAATAGAATGTAAGCAGGATTTAAATCAAAAAGTGTTTCTGTTTGGTTTGGGTTGGGGTTTTTTAAAAATTTTTTTCTTTCAAAATTGTTCATAGCTTTTACATGCATTGCATTTAAATTATATTATTTTTATTTATGATTTCTGTGTAAATATTGCTTCATTAACTATGAGAATCTTGTTTGTATCTGGTTTAAGATTTTTGTGCTCTGGGATCAAATCCTGGTTTCAGAAAGACATCAGTAATTACCCAATGTATTATCTTGCCTTGAAAAGACAGAACAAAGAATTTTAATTCCCCATAGTAATTTGGGCCACTTTCTGACCTTCAGGGTCTTTTTTTGCTTAACTGATTTGATTTGAGCTTTACATGTTTTCCCTTGCTATCTATAGTTCACAAAGACAGAACTGATAGACCAAAGGTTAGAATTAGTAACCATTTTAAATATCAAAGTTCATGCATTGCTGTGAAGGATCATACAATCATCTAGGCTGGAAGGGACCTTAAAGATCATCTAGTCCAACCATCAACCTAACTCTGACAAAAAAATAAATAAGAAATAAGAGTAGCAGTTTGAGATACACCTTACTATTAAGAAAAGTGAGGTTCAGTTATGTACTAGAAGAAGACCCAAAATATTTCAGTAAACTCCACTATGCTAGTGTCCCAAGTTTGAAAACCATTGCTATCTGTTTCGTATCCTACTTTAACAGAATTTTTATTTCAAACAGACAAATTAATTAGCTGTTAAATACTCCTGCGTACCATATCAATTCAGCTACTCTGTTATTAATTTAGTACACATAAACATGTTGGAGAGTCATTAGCCACATTTATCTCTATTTCAATATAGTAAGACATCACAAATGTAACTGACACTGAAAGGAAATGACAATCCTCAGAAATCTGTCAGAGACATCTACAGTTATACAGATTTTGTGATTAATTCTCTGTGTCTTTTTATCTTGTACAGTTTCTTCCCAGCACAATAGTAGGTTGCTAAAGTCCTTTGTATCAGTGCTTTTACATGGATTATTGACAACAGTCATAGAAAGTGTCAATGACAACTTTAAGTTATTTAATAGCAAATAATGTGTATAGTCATCTAAAGTCATTCGTTCAGCTAAGTCAAAACCAGCAACTTACTATATATGGAGATTGCTATCAGAAAATCAAAAAAGGTCTTGTAGCTTCATAGTTCTCTCTTTAAATATATAAGGCTATTTAGTATTAGGATAAACAAGTGCAGCACCATCTTTTCTAGGTCTTTGTAGATTAAACCTTTCTGTTATGTTTTGGTCAGAAACAAATTGTTTTAAAAATCCATTTCTCTCACTTTTTTTTTTTTTTTTTTTTGCTTAGATTAAGTTGAATATGTGACTATGTCTGATAAAATGTGCATTTTTGTCATGTTCTGAAACTGGTACATTATTTTTATTGTTGTTTCAGAAGTAATTAAACCAACTCTGTCCATGACACTGAAAACAAAGAAACCTCATTGATCTTGGAAAAAATTACCTTTCCAGTTATCAAATATGGAACAACCTTTACTATTTATAATCTTAAACTGTAAATGTATATATTTAGCTATATTAGTATTCAACAACAAGATAGAGCTCTATTGGTTTTTTTTCCAATTACTATAGATTGGTTAAGCTAAGAAAAAAGAAAACTATTTTTCAAACTTCCATCCTTGTAATCTGAATATGGGATTTAAGATTTTGGGCTCAGATAGCATCAACAGCATTGTCTGTACAAAAATATGCATGTTCTTAAATACTTCCAAATTCCAATTCATTAAAATTTTGGAGCCAAAATAGGAGTACGAAAACTAAATATTTTCTTGAATCTAGGTCTAAATGTGGAACCAAATTTTTCCTTCCTTACCATCTCAGTAATCTTTTTGCCCTCAAGTTCAGGTTGTAGTTAAATAGTGGTAATTTAATTTCCAATAGAACTACAAGCCCAAGAACACATTCACACAAGCATCGTAGGAATTACTGCTTTCACAGCAATCTATCCCAACTTCCTGCTCCAGGACAAGATTAGATTTGTCCAGGTCTAACCTCTCTTAGACCTTCCAGGAATGATGGCTCAATAAACTCAGTGCTTAGCTTTTCCTCATAATTATCTGAATCTTCCTTCCTGCAGTGTAAGGTAACACGTTGCTTCATCAGCACACAGTTTTGTGTTCATCTTTGCAACAGCTTGTGTGTAAATAAGGGTGATTATCACCACCCTTCCCCTTCACTCCGGGTGACTGACCACATTGTTTACAAATTCTCTGTAGCGTCTGACTTGAATCTGTCCAACATAGAAATTAAATCTTTATACTCCACATCTTTGCTACATCTGAGAGGCTGGGAAAAAACCAGTATTCATTCCTCTGCAGCAATCCAGCATATGAAGCATGCTACCTCTCTCAGACCTCTTATAAAACTAGCAAACTCCTTCTCTCCCGTCTTTTCAGAATTTAGGCTTTCTAGTTTTGTGATTGATTTAATTGCTTTAATACAGACTTTAGTTAGTGCACATCCTTCTTGAAGTGTCTAAAACTGGACACACAATAAAAGCTGGGGCTTTAGCAGCAGGATTACCTCACAGGTCTTACATTACGTCACCTGTGTTTGGACACCCCGGGCCTGATGGTTCTCCTTTAAGCAAAAGCCCCACACTTTTGGCAAATGTTTAGCTTGGGATTCACTCTAACTCCCAAATTATTTCTGTGGAACTTCTCTGTAACCAGTAGTTCTCCATCCTGAATGTATGTGGTTGATAATACGGTGCTGGGTTTGTCTCTACTCATTGCATCCTGGGTGTTTCTGTGGCTGTTTTTTGAGTCCCCTGTTTGTCACAATCATTCGGAACGCTAATCCTGTTTTCCAGAGCAGGTTGCAGATTCTCCCAGCTTCTGAGAAAGGGGAAAACAAAGCTTACCTTGAACTCTTCACAACTTTGTCAGTGTAAAAACACATTGGAAGAAAAGATAGGAGCTGCAAACTGCAAACAAGGTGGAACCCATACTTGTGCACTCAAGCAAAAAAGAGATCTTTACTGATCAATGCTGTCTTTAAAAGCGATACGTTAAGCTTGTCAATGTTAAATAAATGAACTGCCTTCTATAACTGTAATGAAAACTGCTTTTGGAAGACCCATGATTTTTTTTCGATCCTCTTTTAGAAGAAATTATGTAGTTCTAAGAATGCCAATCACTCATTTTGAGCGACATAAATGCAAGGTTAAAATGACAGCATCTGCAAAATCGTCACTGAAATATAACTGCTTATACACTTTATTTTAAGAATAGCACGTAATGCTTAATAAGGCAAAAATACTGACAGGAGTAATCTTGATTCTGTGGCAACGCATGACAGAAGTAAATTTCGTAACAATTGATTAATGCTACATCTTGACCTAGTTCCTGTACCAGTATGTTAGTTCCCTTTACTTGGGCCAGCGATTAAACCTCACTGAATTTCACTGAATTTTTAGAGTTGGAAGGGACCACAGAGATCATCTAGTCCAACTCCCCTGCTAAAGCAGGACCACCCAGAGCTTGTCAGAGCATGTTACTCAGGACTGCATCCAGGCGGGTCTTGAAAATCTCCAGAGAAGGGGACTCCGCAACCTCCCTGGGCAGCCTGTTCCAGGGCTCTGTCACCCTCACTGTGAAAAAGTTCTTCTTCATATTCAAGTGGATCCCTTTATGTTCCAACTTGTGCCTATTGCCCCTTGTCCTCTCACTGGCAACTACTGAAAAGAGTCTGGTTCCCTCCTCCCTCAGCCCGCCCTTGAGATACTTGTAGGCATTAATAAGGTCTCCCCTCAGCCTTCTCTTCTCCAGACTAAAGAGTCCCAGCCCTTTCAGCCTCTCCTCATAAGGGAGATGCTCCAGTCCTACCCCCTCGTTCTTTCTGAAATGGTGAAGAATGGCTCATGGGGGGGGCTGCGGGGCAGCACACAGGGGAGGACAGGCCCAGGAGTAACTATTCCAGTGGTTTTTTGGGATGTCGCTGTGCTCTGGTGCCTGCAGGCCTGCCTGAGGCCACGGGGCAGTCCCGCTCTGAAGGACGCTGCACCTAAGAAAGGCAGGCCGCAGGAAGGGAAGGCGGCGGCTGCGGAGACAGGCCGGGTGAGCACCGCCAGCCCTGCCAGAACCGGAGCCAAAGGGCCTCGGCCCTTTCGATCCTCTCAGCGATCGGGCTCCGGGAGGCAACAGCACCCGCAGGGAGGGTAACGCCGGCCAAGGCGGGACGGGAGGGGCCCCTCCGCCATCCACACCGACACACACACGCCCACCCCGAAGCCGACGGCTCCTCAGCGCCGCACTGCACGGCCCAGCGCCTGCGCCCGCCCCGGAGCGGGCCGGAGGAGCTGGCGGAAGGAATGGCGGCTCAGCGTCATCCCCGCCACCGCGCAAGCTCTCCCGCCGGCGCATCCGCAGACAGCCCGGCCCGGCGCGGCCGCCCGGCCCGTCCCTTCCCTCCGCCTCCCCTCCGGTACCGATGGCGGCGGGCGAGGCGGAGGCGGCCCAGCAACAAGTGAGCGGCGGTGGGGGGTGAGGAGGGGTTTGAGGGGGTGTCACGGTTCCGCCTGGCGGCCTCCTGGGGCTGGCGGCGTGAGCGGCTGGCTCACGTCGGGAGCGGTGGCTTTAGGTGGCTTCTGGGGAAGGCCGGCCCTGTGAGGAGAGCTCCCTGCCCGTGGGCCGTCGGCTTTGTTCAGACGCCAAGGGGTGACGACAGCAGGTTTACCCTGACGAGCCATTCCAGGTGGCTTAACTTCTAGGCGGCGGGTGGCTCTGCTCTTTTTATGGGAATTTGCTGTATAACTTCACTCATTCTTACTCGATAAGAGCTAGTAGCAGGGCCTTGTGGTCCTTCCCCCGCAGGGAGATGACCCAAGGAGGAGTAACGCTGCTTGGGAGCTGCTCCTCGGCACTTTGCTCACCTTGTCGCTGCTGGGAATTACAGGTTTACCCACAGCAATGCAAAAGCTGGTGCATGTATGGAAGAAGCACACAAAGTTTGCTTATGCTGTGAATCAGCACTGGATCTGCAATATTTACGGCGCTCCAGTGCAGTGAATCTTGTCACAGCCATGGATAAGCTGTTAAAAAGCCAAGGCTGAAAACTGTGATCGGGACACAAGGCTGTGGGGAGTTTGTTTATTTATTTTTGCATAATGCTTTTTCCAGGTTGATGAAATTGAAGCTCTTTCATCCATATACGGTGATGATTGGTGTGTTGTTGATGAAGATGAAAAGATTTACTGCATTAAGATTAGTGATTGTCTGGATCAACCAAAATGGACCCTCTGTCTGCAGGTATAGTGGTGTAGAAGAGTTTGGCACAGAATTTGTAATTCCACACCAGAAAAACATTAATTTAAATACTTTTCTTCAAAGACTAATTTTTAAAATATTTTTGCATCAACTTTATGTAGGGGATCTCTGCTGCAATAGCAGATAGATTTACTTTCTGGGAAGTGTGGAAACAAAATTTGGATCAACTTAACTGAGTAATTTGCTACTTTATGTTTACAGACCTGAATACAGTAAGTTTGCTTAGTGGAAGAAACACTGAAGTGTCTCCTTATGGAAATGCAGTGCTGCTTAAATAAGTCTAGTAACCATGTCCAATAAAACAGCTCCTTTCAAATTTCTTCTGCACTTTATTTTGCATGACACTTCATCCAAAAAAATTGCACCATGAAATATAGTATTTGTATGCATTACCATTATTGGAATCCTAAATAGAGATATTCAGGTTTTCTTGCCATTCTGTAACAACATAGCCATCTATTTTCTTCATTTGTAACACTGATTGTAGTCCTGGCACATATCAGGGTAAAGCTCAGCTAGCTGGGAGAAATTGTTTAGTGAATACTTATGCTCAATTTCTTTCAGGTGATTCTGCCACCAGGATATCCAGCTGCAGAGCCACCTATCTATCAACTAAAGTAAGTGAAGTTTCTTGCTGAGAGTTCTTTCCTTTCAAACATTTGTATTTCTTTTCTGAATTACAGCTGTTAATTTTTTACGGTGTAAGTTGCAGTTTAGTTACAATGATTCCTTGAATTAAACTATACTGGGAATGGGGGACATTTCAAGCAAGAATATTCTGTTCCTTCTCCCAGTTGAGTCTCATGGAGCTCCTACGACAGTTTGCTCTCTTCCCTCAAGTGTAATTCTTGCAGCGTTATTTGGTGGCAAGGCAGCAATTAGACTGTGGAGGTATGGTGCTGCTGCCTGTTGCGTTGGGTAGTGACATCCCATTGCATCCTCTGGTGTACCCCTCTGGCCTGGATCCTCGTTTCAGATTATAAGGTGTGCTTTTAGTCTGAGCACTGACTCTTGTCGGGGTGGAGCTGTAGCATGTGCTGTTTTCCTTCATTGCTCTTCCTTTGTCTCCTGACATGTAAATGACATGGGAACGGAGACGTACATCCCTGATTTGGATGATAGAGGGACCTGCAGGGCATGACACAGCATATATACCGAGATTTGGTCAGCAATATTGACAACACAATACAAAATAGTGCAAGTAAACTTGAGACAAAGTCTATATTTTAACATGAGATCAGGAGGATACAGGTACAGAACTGAAGGGTCATTCTAAATATAAGCGGTACTATGGTGCTGAAGGCGTTGGAAAGGTAAGCTAATAATCCATAAGGTGACTCTGGAGTGACAGTGGCCTACTGTGAAAAACGAGTCCAGCTTTCTTACCTGAGGCAAGAAAAGGCAGCCCAAATTAGGAGTCTTGAATGAAAACTGGGTGATTGTGATGTTTACAACTGGAATCTTGTTAAGTGGGAATGATTGACAATGATTTATTTTTAAGAAGTGTGTATCGAATTTATTTTTGAATGTGTTGAGATGTTGGGATCAGCATATGGGCATGATTTTCATTGTATTTCTTCTCATTCTAGTGCTCCTTGGCTTCGAGGACAAGATTATACGGAACTAGCAAATAGCTTGGAAGAAATATATGTGTAAGTTAGAGACTGTGGAATATAGTAAAAGGAGGCAGTGTATTTTCAGTTTCATGCTGAAATGCTCACGCTACTCAGTGTATGCTTTTAAGTACCGGCAAAAGTAGTTATGAAGTGATTGCTGCAATAGCCATTAAACAGTAAGTTTCTTTTATAAATCTAACAGTTAAAGATGCTGTATATTCACTAGGCATTTTGCAAGAAAATGTTGTGTTAAACTCTTGACAGATTTCTTTTATATTGTTTAGACCTGGTGTTCTATAAGGATAGAAGTCTTCATTTTGACTCCTAATAGTATAGACTCCCTTTAGAATCTGTGAGATTGCCTATGAGTTGGTGCTATTAAGTATGAGATTTCTGCACCCATTCTGCATTTGAGTGTTAAGCCGTAGGATGTGAAAATTTTTGTGTTTTAGAGCATAAGTGTCAAAACAGCTTTTCTTAAAAGATAGCAAAGGGATATGTAGATTTTAAAACAAATTAAACACATGTAGAATCTATTAACTAGAATCTGTAACATAGCGGACTGTTTATTATCACAGCGTGCAGCTAACAACAATGCATAATGAATGCATGAGAATAAACAGAACATTTAGAAATACTCAAATTACATGGTTTTGAATTGCTATGAAATTGGGGTAGTAAATGTAGTAATTTTATATGGTTTATTTAATTCTTTCAGATCCCAAAGATACTATAAACTAAATGAAATGAAAATATGTCATAAGGAAGTACAGTCATGCCCAAAATACTGAAATATGAATGTCTTGCATAAGAAATGTTTTTTTTAATGCCATAAAATAAGAAAGAGAGCACTTAGCTTGCATGAGGGTGTTTTACCTAATTACTCAGTTCCTTTGATTAACTAGGTTTCTTATCTAATTAAGCAACAGATAATTTGAGCAAGTAAAATTGAATTTGAAGTGTTAAAAATGCACAAGGATTTTTAAATTAAAAGTTCTGTGGGATTACATTAACCACAGTTGTTCAGTGGAGCAAAAAGAACAGAGATTGTCCTTAACCTGTCCAGTTTCA